GTTCATTTATAATTAGTAAAAGTACACTTGATTTCAATACAAATGGAGTCCAGTGGTTTTCTTTCTTGATTACTGAATGAAGTGATGCTGACACACAATCTCTTACACTGGTGCTAACAGTAGTTTGGGCAGGTTCAAACTTTTTCGGTTACGGTTAATATTTATTTTGTGTCTTTAAGGGTTGTTGGTAAGGGTGGTGATTGGTTCTTTCTCACAAACCTTTTTTCAGGGTAGAGAGAAAGTTATTCAATTTGAATATATCCACATTTTGTGAAAGATGAAAACTCAGCCTTATATGAGCTATCAAAGTGCATGCTAGCCACATCTTTGGACAGAGTTCATTCAGTCAATAATCAGTACAAATAGCCATACATTTAAAAATTATGATCACAAATGAAAACAAATATTTGAGTGGTAAATATTTCAATTATTTGCCTCTACCTAATCCCAGTTATCAGCTGTGGACCATTTGAAATAGTGAGCGTTCATCTCTTGATATGCCAGCAAATAATAATTCCTGCCTCTCAAGCTGCCTTGGTGGAATTGTATCTCCAGTGTTTTCTATACTTGATTGCTTTGACTTTCTGATTCTAATGCAGGTCTCAACAGTTTCATTCATTATGATTAATATTTTAACCAGCTACATCACTGTGAACAATGCATCATATCATACAAACAGATTTAACAGCATATGTATATGCCTTGGTGTGGCATACACAAAACAATTAGGATCCTCTCCAATAGACAATAATAGTGCTGTCAGGAATATTTGTGACCATACATATCCTTATTTTAAGACTTCCGTGGAAGACTAGGAAATCCCTGTCATTACTCATCACAATTAAGCAATCACTTTCCTTGGGAACCTTCATTAGCAGGTTGACACAACTGTTCTTTTTAAGCATGCAATTCTTCTTTCTTTTGTTTATGGAGAATAATTTGTCATATCCTGTATAAGGCAGTTCTTAAGGAAGCCCTTAAGCTAAGGGCTGTCAAATTTGCTCTTTATAAAAAGTTATTTATTTTTCTAAAAGCTAGGGGCTACTTTTACAGGTAGTAAAAGTAAGTAGAAAAGATTTGCTAACATAAGAAAACAGCTCTTTGTGAATACAGAATGTCCGTTGAAAAGAAAAGAAGCAAAACTACCTAATATTCATGATAGTTTGGAATGAATAGCATATATTTAAAAGGGCATCATTTGCGTTCTGAATTTTGTCAACATTTCACTGGGAATTTTTACAGTCTTTATTTAATCTAATTTTAAATTGCAAAAAAAGAACTATTGCTGCAATTTGGCATGCATAAGAACACTGATTTTAGGTAAAGCTGTTCCCCTAACTTACAACACCATAACCATAGTATAGTTTGGTCAGAAACAGTACCAGCATCTCTGGTATTTTTATTAAAATCAAGGTATATTCAAAATATTTACTGAGCTGGCATGGTCATCTGTGAATGAAGGCAAGACAAGAAACAATGGATGGAAATTAAACAAGGAGAGAGGCAACCTAGAACTAAGGAGAAATGCCCGAACAGTGACAATTAACCAGTAGAGTGGTTTGGGTGGGTATGCCATCACTTAAGAAGAGACTGGACAGCCATTTGAGCAGAGCTGTCAAACTCCTGGCCCTGGGCCAGATGCATCACATGCTGGCCATGTCCAGGCCCAATTTAGCGAAGGGGAAAAAAGTCCTGATATGTCATATGATGCCGCAATGATGATGTGAGTTTGATACCCCTAGTATAGATAAGGTGACCAGATGGCCCACTTTTGGCAGGATAGTCATGCTTTTTCACAATTTTTCCTGCGTCCCATTTTTTTAAAAAAAAACTCCCGATTTTTTTTAAAGTTACAAAAAAGCCTCCAGCCGCCGAGGCTCTCCTAGCAACTGGGAGCGTATATTCTTCTTCAAGACAAGCGCATTCCTGCCCGTGCGTCCCTGGGAGCTGTTGCCAATGGCTGAGGGAGGAGAAGACTTACTCCATGTGGAGACCGCAGACTTCCCTCGTGGATTTTTTCTTTTTCTGTTGCTTTGAGCAGCCCCTCCCTCCCCCTCTCTCTTCCTCTCTCACTCAGAGCTAGCTAGCAGCTGCCTCTGAGGCTGTCCAAGCTCAGCCCCTCCCCCTCCCCAGACTGCTGCTTCTCCGTGTTGTTGTTTGAGGAGGGGATTACTGATAGAACCATAGCTTGCGTCTCACGTGGCTGATAACCTGGTCTCTACAGAAGAGGTAATTTTAAAAACTTCGGAGCAAATCCAGAAAGAGGAGAGAAAGAGGCTGAAGGACTATGTGAGGAGGGGGGATTTCCTAAACCCCATTGAATCCAGAGGAGGGAAGAGAGAGAGAGAGAGGGAGAGAAAGAGGGAGTGTGTGAGGAGGGGGGGATTTCCTAAACCCCATTGAATCCAGAGGAGGGAAGAGAGAGAGAGAGAGG